TTTTATACTCTTATTAATGTGAATGTTAACATGTCAATGTGAATATTCACATTATCAACGGGCGGGGCCGGGCCGGGCCGAGTCGGGCCTGTCCTGGGTTGCTGTCTAGTTTTATACTCTTATCAATGTGAATGTTAACATGTCAATGTGAATATTCACATTGTCAACGGGCTGGACCGGGCCCGCTCCGGGCCGCCCATGGGCCGCGGGCGGGTTTCGCGCCGCCACGGGACGGGGGCCAATTTTACACTCCTATTAATGTGAATTTTAACATATCAATGTGAATATTCACATTGTCAACAGGCCGGGCCCGCCCTGGCTTGCGAGCGGGTTTCGGGCCGCCCATGGGCCAATTTACATTCCTACAAATGTGAATTTTAAAATATGAATGTTCACATCATTAAATTGCTAATCGTTGAAAAAATATTTATAAGGGTATCAAAATTAAATATAAGGGCATAAGTGTCCAAGAAAATAGTGTAAATCAAGAAAATGGACTTTATGGAATAAAACTATATATACATAGGACTAAATGGGTTAAAAAATTCCTTCATTGACTTCTTGGGTTAAAACATTTCCAAATTGGACTTATCAATAAAAATCCCTTCATTTTATCTCCTTTATGGTTTGAGCCAAAGTGCTTTAACCCATTGTGGTTCAAATATAATAAAAAAGGCTCCATGTGATTTTGGACTAAAGTACAACTATTAACATTGTTAATAATAGATGTGAAATGATTATAATACCCTCAAATCTTATACTTTTTTGTTATTTTCTTTCTCTCTCTTCTCTCATACATATAATTTATAATGTCTAACATTAATTCAATTAAATCACAATAATTACATATTTATTTATTTATTATTTTAATTTAATTATATTTTTTATCACAATTAATCCTATATTTAATTATTTATTGTAATTTCTAAATTTTTAATCTAATTTTAATTTAATTATATTTTATATCACAATTAATTATTTATTTTCATTTCTAACATGTTAATCTAATTTTATTTTAATCATATTTTAGATCAATTCTTAATACTTATTTATTTTTATATTTTTATTTAATTATATTGTAAATAAATTCTTAATTATATTCTATATTCTAGATCAATCATTAATTATATTTTAATTTATTTTATTTTAATTAACATACTAATCCAATTTGGGAAAATTAGTAAAAATCCCTATCCAACTTTGGGTAGTAGGAGAGATTCAATATTTTTTTTATTAGATAAGGTCCCTCGATGAAATTTCTCTATGTTGGAACAAAATTTCTCTGTGTCAGAGCGAAATTGCTCTTTGTCAAATTTTTTTTGTGAAACTATTATGAAAATATTGTATGTCTTTTATCTTATAAAATCTTAGGAGAAAATTAGGGTAAAGTTGTCTTTTTATTCTATTAATTTCACTTTATTTTTTTCAGAAATCCAAACTCACTCTAAAAAATGGTGTGTATAAAAATACACATTTTGTTAATTTGGATGAAAAACTTAACGGTAACACTTTAATTCAAAATTACATGGGAGTTTTCTAGCTATATTTAAACGATAGGGAGATAAAGTGCTCTGGATAAAATAAATGTAAACCATATTTTAATATAAAAAGATATTTGATCATAGATTAATATTCTAAGTCCAACTAATGAATAAAGGAAAAGAACAAACAAAGTTTTTTGATTTGAGATAGGAAAAGAGTTCATAGATGTTCCATGGGGGAAGGGCCAAATAAGTATAAAATGAAAATTACAGGCTATTTGTAAATATTAATAACAATATGTTTAAGTGAGCAGAGGGCCATGGCCCCTAACTATCTCTTCTATGGTCCGTTCTTGCCTACAAGTTTAAACAGTGCCCTTTAATCGAGATTAACGATTGAAGGGGATTCACCTCCAAAAATTTATTCATATGCTACATTAAAATTTTAAATTTTGAATTTGAGAAGAAAAATAAAAAGAAATAAAATTATTTATATATATATATTCCTTTTAGGATTAAAAAAGGATATTTTGGCAACTACTACTGAAAATTTAATTTTTAAATAATTTAGTACCTTGTTTTAATCCCTCTCTCTAGACTTTATGAGTGTCTAAACGGTGTAAAGGTGGTGTGTCTATTATATATTATTGATTGGGCTTTTCAGGATTCTTGTTTTCTTTTATTTTTATTGCTATTGGTTGTAATTGCTCGAGTATTATAAAATTAAAAAAAAAAATCATTTTTGCGTTCATTCATTATAATTCTTATAACCGACCACTTTCATTTACGTATTGAAGAAAATGGTGCGCAAATTCGTTGGCTTTGATTGAGGTATCCAACTTTGCCAAACATCTTTGTTGAAAAAAGAAAAAACAAAAGAAATGGTGAGTCATTACATACATGAAGATGTGATGGTTGGGATTCTTGTAAAATTGCCTGTCAAATCTTTGTTGCGATTTAAGTGCGTCTTCAAATTTTGGTCCTCTCTCATTACAAATCCCAGTTTCATAGCCAAGTATCTCACTAACAGTAACAAGGAGGAAAATGGTTGCCTCTTGGTTCACAACGTTGATTACAATGACAAAAAATATACCTTTGCTGTGTGTAGGGATAAAACCCTTACAGTTCCAGTATTTGAATATCTCGGTCTAAAGTTGAATGTTGAAGCACGAGTTATGGGTCCTTGTAAAGGCATTTTTTGTCTCCTAATCAATGCCGTTTCTATAGCGTTGTGGAATTCGGCAAACAGAGAATTCAGAGCTCTTCCAAGACAAACATACCCCGAAACCATTCCTCCAAGAATGGAACTCGAGAATAATGCTTTTGGGTTTGGGATGGATCCTTTCACTGATGATTATAAAGTGGTCTCGATTAGGATGTACTGGGATAGCACCCTTGATGATCCGTATAATTTTACTCCTCCAACATGTTACCTTAAACATATTGCTATATATTCGTTGCGTGATGATTCTTGGAGAGATTTCAAGGGTTTTTTTCTTGAATGTTTTGTGTTTTCTTCTTTTGAGTTCTACACTTACATGGATGGAATTTACTACTGGTGTGCATATGACAAAAATGGGCATTCTATGAAACTCTCATTTCATATGGGCTATGAGGTGTTTCAGAAGATATTGGAGCAGGATGAACATACTAGACCATTGCCATTCCAAGGGATACCAGAGCTAGGTTGCCCTCACCCAGGAACTAATCTCGTCGAACATTATTTTGGGGTCTACAAAGGCTGTCTTGCTTGGATACAATGTTATCCAAGAAGTTGGACACACCAAACGTTTTCAACATTTGGGTATGGAAAGAAGAATGTTGGACAAGAGAATTAATAACTGGACCTTTTGTAGGAGCAATTCCATTTGGATTTTGGAAGAATGGTGAAATCCTCCTTCAAGTTGTGGATGGGAATTTGGTCTTAGCAGACCCTATTACCCTTGAGATGAAGGAGCTGGAACTGTGGCTTTTCAGGCTTTTATTTACCATGGGAGCCTGGTTTCTGTTCAGAGAAGAGACGAGGAATTGGATCATTCATAGACTACACTTCCTCTTAAGTTGGATGTTCTCCATGACATGAGGCGGGATAATCAAACAGATTATGATTTCACTGATTCTAGCTCTGATGATACTTAGGATGTATTTGGATTTTTAAATTAGGATGAAATTGAATTTTAAATTAGCCAAAGACGAGAAATGAGAAAAATAAGAGAATAAACTACTCATTTGAGAACTTTCTTTTTGAATAATTTCTTTTGTTTTCAACCTTAAGCATGTTTCATTCTTTGGAGTGTGTGGGGTATGGATTGGATTTGTCCTCATTCTTTGGAGTCGTTTTTCTCTTGGTGGTCAAGATTTCGGTTCAGAAATCTGAAGAAAATCATTTGGTTGGCTCTGTTCCCATGCGTATGTTGGAATTTATGGCTAGCAAGGAACTCTCTGATATTCAGTGGCATCCAACCTAATTTGGAAAATTTAGTTCATTTAGTCTTATGGACAAAATTCAACTCGGATTTCACTGGCTTTTCGATCCAAGACTTTGTTCTCTATATTCACGACATTCGGGAGTGTTGCTCCAACCCCTATGCATGCATGTAGAGAGTCATACAAAGATGGCGTAGGAAGACCTCCACTGGAAGTGAAAGTCTATGCTGGGCATATTTGCAAGCTTCTCTTTTCCCTTCACGTTGTTGGCATTGTTGACACTCACCCTCATCGTTAAAGAATGTAGAAAACTATGTGGGTTTGTCTCCTCTCTCTCTCTCTCTGTGTGTGTATAAATAAAGACGAGAGGGAGAGGGTGATTTGTATTAGAAATTTGAGAGAGAGCTGTGAGTTGAGTGAAAATTTTATCTTCTCCTTTGTTTTGTATTTTGCTCCGTTTTAGTGAAAATTCTCATTTATGTCCGTGGATGTAGGCATTGGGCCGAACCACGTAAATTTTGTGTTCTCTGTGTATGTGAGATATATTTTCTGGTGTGTTTGATCCTAACTAGGGGTGCAACTCGGGCAGGTTCGGTCGGGTTGGAAGGTTATCCAAGCTCAGCCCAAGTTGCGCTGAGACCCGCCCAAGCCAGACCCGAGTTAAATCCGAATTGCCCGAGTTGCTCGAATTGTAAATGAATTTCATTTTTTTATTTTTTTTTATTTTTTTTTTTTTGCAACTACATTATTAAATTTTGACTCTATTTACAATTTTTTTTTTTTAGAAAATCATTAATATCATCAAAACAAATAATTTATGTAATGTAAGAGAGATGCCACTATAGTAATCCTTACAATTTATGAGTAAAAATAAAAAGAAAAAAAGTAAGATTTTATATTATTTGTATAAATAATATATATTCAATATGATTTAATAATATAAATTACTTTACTATCATGTAATGGCTAATAATTTATATGTATATTTAATATTTTTATATATCTGTATATGTATAATTTGGGCTTTGGGTTGCTCGGGTTGTTTGACATCTTTGCCCAAGCCCGCCCAAATTTAATTTGGGTTTCTGAATTTTTATCCAAGCTCGTACCGAATTTGAAAATATTTTATCCAAGCCCTAAAAAAATTCGGGCTGGGCTCGGGTTGCTCGGGTTGAGCCTGCCCAAGTTGCACCCCTAATCCTAATAGGGAGATCAAAGCAAAATTTTCACTACAACAAAACTGGTTTCTTATGGCTTCACATTAATGACATACAGTAAATGCAAGCCGTGGTTTCTCACTTTTACGATTTACTTTTTTTGCATGTCGTAAATAATTTCCCAACGACGACGTGTTTATTGCGTAGGTCGTGAATGCTAATAACGATTATTTTTTTACGGCTTGCAATATTAGTCGTAAAATAATAAAATTTTCTATAACGTACATATGACATGGCGTTAATACATCAACTATATATGACACGGGTATACCAGTTGCTAAAAATATTGAATATTTCACGGCGCACAAAAAATCAACCGTTAAAAATTACACCTTCCATGACACACGAAAAGCAAACTGTTTGAAATATTGCAATTTTCACGACACGCAATTGTTGTTATGAAAGATACGACCAAAAACAAAAATAATGCTAAAATAAAAAATTTCAAGCGCCAAACACCAAAAAAATTCAAAAATCCCAACTCTTCAACCCCAATGGGTTCGTTTGGGAAGTGGGCTGATTTTTTGGTTTTTTGACTATTTTAGCCTAGGGCTAAAAAGTTTCGTTTGAGAAGAATTTTTGATTTTTTTGAGTTTTTTGTGAGAAAAAAATGTAATGATTATAGATTGAATATGATATTTTATCTTATTAGATTAAAAAATTTATTTTATTTTTTTGTGACTATTTTAGAAGGAGGAGGAGGAGGAGGAGGAAAAAAAACAAAAAACAAATTGTGACTACTTTTAAAAACTTATTTGTAGAGAATTTTTCTCAAAATTTTTTGAGAAACACAAACCAAACAAGGCCTGTGTTTCCTTCCCAAGCGGAGCCAATATGAATCTAAAAAACAAATCTGGGTTTCATCGTCCAACACCCTGGTGCACACACAGAGTGAAGAATAATTTTTGCCTTTTGTTTGATAGCTCTCTGCCACACTATCTCTCCTTCTCTCTCTGCCTTCATCATCTCTTAAAAGAACATTAACATAGAAAATACTCTCCAAATCCTCACTCTCTCTCCCTCTCTCTCTATCAAACCCCAAACCCAAACCCAAATCGACATCAAGAGCTCCAAGAAGCAAAAGCCTCTTCAAGTTGAACACAATGGTGGGAAGCTATTGACTCAGTTGCCTCCGTTTGGGAAGTGGATTGGCTTTTTGGCTTTTTTGGCTATTTTAGCCTGGGCTAAAAAGCTTGGTTTGGGAAGGGTTTTTTGGTTTTTTGGCTTTTTTGACTTTTTTTTTTTTGTGAGAGAAGAGTGTAATGATTATGGGTTGGATGTGATATTTTGTTTGTTGTGGCTAAAATAGCCTATTTTGTCCTTTGTGGCTATTTTAGCCCTAACCTTGCTTGCCAAACGGAAAGTTGAAATGAAACAAAAAAAGTTAGATGGGTTAGAGGGAGAATATCTGCCTTCTCTCTAGAAACATCTCGTTTCTAGGGTTTCATCGATCTCTCATTGATTATGGCTGATTCTCTTAATACTCGTGTGGTCGATTCTTCTAGAGGCGAAGTAGATGTACTGAAAGTAAAAAAGGGATCGGAGTTCATGAAGGTGTCTAATGAGGTTGTGGGGGTTCTTGATGGATGTACTACGGGGTTTGTGAAATCATACTCTCCGAAGCTGTTTGATCAGGGTTTCGGGGGTATGAAAGGTGAATCGCCCATCAGTTGTGGTCAATCTGGAAAGACAGTCACGAACCCTAGTTCTTTTAGAGAGAAACTCAACGTAGTGAAAGCCAATGTTTCAGGTGTGAATCGTGAAGACTTAACCCCTTTGTTTCAGGAGGAAATCGAGATGGTCCGATATTGTGGAGAAAGAGGGTAATGAGGAAGTTGTTATTAACCGATTTAGGGATTTACCTGATAGCTTGATTATAGCTAGGGCTAGGAATATGGTTTCCAATCTGGATGAATCGGAGATTGTATATGAGGACATAACGTCTTAGAAGCTTTCAGATCCTCAAATGGGCATGGATAGGGTGGGCATGGATAAAGTGAGCCCTAAGGCAAGGAGTTTGAGTAATCGAGAAGATCTGGGGGTGAGAAATGTTTTCCCTCAGATGGGTGGACGTACTGGTCTGCAACAGGGGATACGAGGTGGAAGGGGTGGAAGAGGTGTTGGGCAGCAGACTGGGTTCTTGGTAAATCAAAGTGAGCAAGGGGAGGGTAATGATGCTTTTTACTCTATCCCAGTGGCAAACCCAGTTGTGCAGGAGAAGAAGACCTGGGCCTTGGTGGTAGCTACAAATCAGAGATCTGCTGTGAAACTAAGGTATTTTCCACCTGATAGCAATACTGACATTGCTGTTGATCTCCCACCTTGGGAAAACATTAAAAAATGGGAAGCTTGTTTGGTTGGCCATTTTTTAGATAGAAATCTAAACTTCAACTATGTCAAAACATATGCATTTAATTTGTGGAGGGGAAAGGGTCCTAGAGGTAATTTCTACTAATAATGGTGTCCTAATAAGTTCTTGAAAAATAGTATGTGACAAACATTCATTTCTAGTTTTCTTAAAGGAATGAGATTCAAATTTTGTAAACTAATTACAATTTTTATTTTCTAATTTTTATTTTTTGGGGGCTAACACTCAAATGTAGGTATATTCGTGATTTATTCATAAAGAAACTACACACATGGAACGTTTGTAAGAACAATACTGTTACAGAATTATTCATCCTCATACACCCATGGAACAATTGCTTCACACTGCTCCTACCCCCACATACGCCTTTTACAAAGTTTTGACTCTTTAAAGCTTTATATGTTTGTAAATGACTTATTGTTGTTTTGATATTTCTTCTTCTTCTTCTTCTTCTTCTTCTTCTTCTTCTTCTTTTTTTTTTTTTTTTTTTTGGTGTTGATATACTGATTGGGATTTATGAAAAATATTATAGGGTTTTGAAGGTCTTTGGATTCAACAGCTAATATTGATGCATTTGATTTGATGAGGTGAGTATTGTGTTTATCTCTGTAGAATTTGGTTAATAAGTTAGTTTGATGAATATTGTGAATATTGTGTGTATGCGAATCTATATCTATGTAGTAATTCTATCGTAAGAACTGTATATTATGTTTGTTTTAGTTATGAATTAAGTGAACTTTTCCACATATGAAGCAAATTGGTTGGAATAATCTGATACCCACCATGGTTGTTAAAATCGTGATTCGGATCGTAAGATTGTACGATCCTACGATCCTACTTTGCCAAAACGATCCAGATCGTTGTAGGATCGATGTTATAACAGGATTGCAAGTAGGATCGTGTAGGATCGTATGGGATCGTGTAGGATTGTATGGGATCGTATAAGATCATAGTGTAGACACCCCATTTTTGACCGCCTTTAAGACTTGGACGCGACTGATGGTTTTGGAAGTTGTGCAGTGCAAAGGGTCGATTTCTTCGGCAAGAGGAGAGTCAAATCTCAACTTTGTACCCCTTTTTGGACAAAAACAATCTTGATCAAAAGATTTTAGACCTTAAAACCCTCTTTTTCAAAACGTTTTTGAAATAAAATTTTTACGATGTTCCGAGGCTCACATTTTGTCAAATGTTGCGATTTTCGATAAACCGAGCAAGGACAAAGTGGAAATGAATGAAAGAGAGATGAAATCTTTGAAAAATCTTTCAAAACACCTTTTCTAGGGGTTTGGAGTTGAAGAAAAAGAGGAGAAGAGAAAGCAAAACTAGTTTGGGAGAAGTTCGGCATGAATCCGGATATGACCAAATCTGCGCGGCTTCACTGAAACGGGCATAACTCTTTGCACAGGAGGAATTTTAATGCGAGGTTGGCGCCATTGGAAAGATAACTTCTGGGGCT